TCCCAAATATTCAGTCAATGAATGCTAACTGAAACAACTAATTTTACCATTACTATTACCATTTCTTTGATCAGTGAATGCTGAATTTGTCTTGAAATAGTTAATTTCACTATGACCACTACTATGACTTTTAAAAGTTCCCTTTTTTTACCTTCTCTCACATTGAGATTATACATAGTCAATTTAATTTTTAAAGTTTTGAATCAGTTCAAGAACATTTTTTTTGTCTTCATTTTATGTTAAGTAAATAAATATCATATGGAAATATTTGATGAGGCAGGACAAGGAGATGGACATTATCCATAATTTAACATGGAGAAAAAAAGACTCAGAATTGCCACTTGCACCTGTGTGAATGTTGTTATCTGGATTTCTGTGAAAGAAAAGATTAATTCTCTGTATATTGTGACAAGTTCTGAAGCTTAAATTTATTCCATCTTACCAGGCATCTCCATATATATTTCTTTCTTATATGATTTGCCACAAATTCTATTAATTTCTTTTTTCTTATGTTTAATCCATTTGTTGCAGAAATAATAGCTTTTCTTCTTTGTATAAATGTTATTATTATAATTCTTATTGTTATTTCATTTTCTCTTATGTTTATTCTGTTGTCTGATGTTATGGCAAAAATCTCCTGACAAATCTTTTGTCCCAAACTTTAGCTTTCTGTTTGAGAAATGAAAACCAATTTTCAACTAAAAGCCCAAGCACTGCTTGATTTTTAGATCTTCTTCAGCAACTTTAAATACATACTGATTCGTTGCTGAGCTTATGACAATAGTCATAAGCATAATTCCTGTATTTGAATGTCCATATCATATATTTGGTAGGTAACATTTGAGATAGAGTAACAGTAAATCTTCTCAAATTTCCAGCACCTTCCTCAGTATCCTTGTGAACTCCAGCATTACCAATGGCTGCGCAGTCTCACTTTTAGTGATTTAGCACAAATTAAAGTATGCCGATTATTGTGGGCTTGACACTTTTTCAAAATTTTCTTGTCTCCCACATTTTCTATTTTTGCTTTGAATGGAATTGTCATGTTGTTGTTATTTGGAGTAGGAAATCTGTTTCTCTTTTCAGTTTTCCTTTATGCAGCAAACTGACAAGTTTTTTTTTTCCCTTGAGAAAAGAAATTAACACTCACAGGATATAGTGAAAACAAGAAAAATGGGAGAAGTCAGTAAGTGACGTACTTATATGAATGGATGGTAGAACAGGGGACAAAGTGGGATGGTAATGGATCAAAGATTATTTAGAGTAATATCAGACAGGAAAATGTGGAGAGCTGTGATCACCTACTTCCTCAAAAGACTTAGCATATAAAAGAATATGATTAGATGTTATGATGGTAGATATTTTCTTACATAAAATATTTTTTATTGTATTTTTTTACAATAATATATATATATATATAAAATTATAATTGATAATAAAATTATAACTGATTATAATACTGATTTTGTTTTACTAAATATCACCCAATACAGGACTCGAAAGCCACTCAAGGTAGAGAGTTTAATTCAAAATGATAATGATAAGTGATGCATATGAAATGAGTGGAAGAAAAGGTGGTAATAAATGGCGATTATGAGTGTAAGGAGGATAGATAATTATTGATCATTGACTTGAAGCAATGTTTTAGTGGTGATTTAAAATTGTGTGTTAAGACTTGTTTGTTTAATTATTGTTGCCTAAAATATTATAATTAATTATTTATAATTTATATCATTCATAATTCTTCCTGTCTAAGACGTTAAACTACATCCAGCAGCAAGGCCTCTGATCAGGAGGTTTTGAGGAGCGTGGAACCACCTCTTAATTGCTGGTGTTCCCAGGTCCACCCTGACCCGGGGTGGTAGCACCTGCTAGGGTCCCAGCTATGGGCAAATAATTAACTATTACCAGCAATACTTTTTTGAAAAAAATTATTACCAGCAATACAATTTTGAAGGAAAAATATTACCAGAAACAGATTTTTGACAAAACAAAATATTACCAGCAATTAAAAATGTTGTTGGCATTAAATAACCCATTGAGGTTGATATACCGTATAACAAAATAAACCAAACTAATCTAAACCAAAGAATACATATTCTATTCATATTTATCCTAAAAATTTATTAAATAAAAATTGATATACCATATAACAAAAATAAACCAAACTAATCTAAACCAAAGGCATTAATTCATATGTATTTATCCATTAAATAACCCATTGGTTGATATACCGTATAACAAAATAAACCAAACTAATCTAAACCAAAGAATACATATTCTATTCATATGTATTTATCCTAAAATAATTAAATAACCCATTGACCTAAAAATGTTGTTGGCATTAAATAACCCAACTTGATATACTAAACAAAATAAACCAAACTAATCTAAACCAAAGAATACATTTCTATTCATATGTATTTATCCTAAAAATGTTGTTGGCATTAAATAACCCATTGAGGTTGATATATAACAAAAAATAAACCAAAAAATAAACCAAAATACATATTCTATTCATAAATCCTAAAAATGTTGTTGGCATTAAATACCCATTGAGGTTGATATACTATTCAAACTAATCTAAACCAAAGAATACATATTCTATTCATATGTATTTATCCTAAAAATGTTGTTGGCATTAAATAACCCATTGAGGTTGATATACCGTAAAACAAAACAAAACAAACCAATATCATTCAAATTCATAAGCTCAAAAGATGAAGTAAAAAAGAAACAGTTATTTAAATTAGAAATACGCAAATATGTTAGTCTTGGACACTTCCTTCTTACTTTTGGGACACAGGAAATAAGGGTGATTCAGCTCTGTGGCAGGAGTATAGTGTGTCTTAGCAATATAATGTGTCCGAACATTAATGGTCTGAACTGTTGGAACTCTAAAGAATGGATCTTTCCTGGGTGTCATTATGATATAATGAAGTGGGTGTGCCTATTTCAGAATGTATCTTACACATTTATAAATCTGGCATTCATCCATGTATTGAATATTGCTGCCATGTCTGGTCTGGTATTTCTGCTATGTATTTAGAGATTCTTGATAAAATACAAAGAAGAATCTGCAGTGTCATTGGTCTTGACCTGGCAACTCAGCTTTAGTCAATTTTCCACCACAGTAACAACTTTTCTATGCCTTTTCTAAAATTATCTTCATTCTGATAAACTTTCCTGTTTGGTACCTCAACTTTATGAATTTAAGTGCAGTACTAGATTGGCAGCTAGGTCTCGGCAATTTACAGTTGAATTGGCTAGATGTAACTAAGTTCTAAGCTAAAAGTTTCTACTCTCACACTTCTTGCTTTCCAGTCAACTTTGGTCTTCAAAAATATAAATGCAATGTCAATCATTATCTTCTGTCTTCTTAATTCTTGTTCTCTTATTGTTCTCTTTCCTTGATAATGTTTTCTTTTTCTCATATTATCTTATATCCAGAAACACCCTTGAATATGTGTGGGTTTATTTATTCCATGACCTGTGGTGAAATGTTTAGAAAAATATTTTTTTAACATCTGACTTTATCACTTACTCTCAGTAAGTACATATTGGCATGAAGCTCATGGAACCCCTGGTCTGATACATGGATACTTACATGTTTATATATCCATCTGTCATACAATTTTTTCTTATGCACACACATATATTAGGTATAGCTTTGATCACAGGTATTCACTTTTAGGGTCAATATTGATAATGGGTGAACCACAGATACCAAACCCTGATTGAGGTCATCTTAGTTCAACTCTGCCCCTGGCTTCTTTTGATGGTTTAGTGTGAAGTTGAATGCCTATTATGCTATGATACTACAATTAGTTAAAAAAATAAAAGCATCTATTATGATAATGATGATGATGGCAGTGATGATTTTCATGATGGTAATGATTTTTATTTCTTCTTTAAGAAAGAAAGCTTTTTTTTTTACTTTTAGTATAAATGGTAAAAATACAGTTATAATTTAATCATTATCATATTATTATAATTCATCAACATTTATACGTGAAAGATTTATGTTTTATTTTTTATATAAATTCAATGAATCAATATTTCTCCACTGTCATATATTGATGGATTTAAAGCAAACTGCAATGTTTTTGTTTAAATCTCTGTCCCATGGGAATATACCGCTTTTGTTTACAATTAACCAATCACTCTTTATCTCTCTCTAATTATGGCAGACAAGGAAAAATTAATTTTTTATTTGTTTTTTCCAGCATTCTTATGTTTTTCCTATTTTGTAGGATTTAGGGAGTAGAGGAATTTTCCATAAATTTCATCACCCCAAGCATTTTCAGCCACTTCTTTAGCCATTTTCTAGGGGATTTTGTTTTTGTGTTTGTTAGTTTTTCACATTTTAACTGTTTAAGATGTTGTATATTATTTTTCTGTCGTTTTGAATAGAAGTGTTTATTCTGAGTCTTCATTTGTTAAGTGTGGCTGGAATTCATATGAGCATCTTTCTATTTTAAAAAAAACTTTCAACACTCCATTTCCACAGTTAAATAATATGAGGTTGATAGTACGAGAGAGATGTTTAATATACAGGGTCTCTCTAACACTGAGATGTTTCTGGTAATGTGATCTATATAGAATTTTAGTGTTTTTGACCAGAATTTTTCTAAAGGGTACTTATTAATTGTGGGTTGATAGATGTCTTTTATAGCCCGTTGATCTGTGTTATGGTAAATTACCCATACACAGATGGACTCTTCCAAGTTACAAATAAAAGAAGATACTGCGTTTGTCTCAAGAGAGTTTTTTTTCCAACAGTCAGCTCTGACAGTTCAAACTTAACATTCTTGCTTGTTTGTATATTATTGCCGATTTTCATTAATATATTTGTGAACTCAAATCCACTCTTTTGTCTTTATTTTGACCACAACAATTTGATAAGTGACATGTGAGGTGTCTACTCAATGAGGTGGTAGTATGTCCAATATATATATTACTTATACTAATACAAGGTGTTGAGTATCAATATATTTAAT